CTGGTGGTTTATTGGAGATAGGAGTCTCACGGTCTCTCCTGCCTGGGCTGGCTTTGAACCGCGATCCTCAGATCTCAGCCTCCTGAGTAGCTAGGATTACAGGCGTGAGCCACCAGCGCCCAGCTAAGTCTGTGACTCTTATCTCCAATTAAATCACAGGAAAAGCTGGACGTGGCGCTGTGGCTGAAGTGGTAGAACGCTAGCCTTGAGCAAAAGCTCAGGGACAGTGCCCAGGCCCTGAGTTCAAACTTCAGGACTGACAAAAAAAAAATTCATAACTCTTTTAAACCCCCTTATAGCTTATATTCTTGCCAGAGGTGCCAGAGAACAGACAGGCCCCTTGTGCTAGGCAACTGCGGATAAAGTGCAGGCAAGAGGAAAAGTCTAAAACAGGCTAGCGGTGTTCATGGCCCCGTCGACTGAAACAGACCTGGCTGTGGTGTAGGATACTGCCAAATGGTAAGGGTTCTTGATAGTCACACTAGCCAGTTACTTAGCCACATTACAGACATCAGCCAGCTCTGTGGCCTGTGACCCCCCCCCCAGTGGAAGACAGGTCCATCTGGAAGCAACTGAGTGGGTGCCGTGGACAGAAGGAAGAGAGCAGAGAGGGTCCTGCAGTGCAAGGCTGCAAAACAAGCCAGGGTGGGACTGGCCCATCAGTCAGACTTGGGACCCGAGAGACACGTCAGGCTGCCTGTGCAGGGACCGTCTTCTGTAGATACTGCCTTCTGTTAGCTTGCTGGGGAGGAGCCAGAGCAAAGTCCTGGCTGTTGGCAGCGCTCCTGCACAACTTGGCACTCAGGGTCTGAGTTCACATGTCTAACAGGCTCCGAAAACCCCAAGGTGAAGATTAAGCTTCCTGGCACAATGTAAACCTCTGAAGCCTTTGCCCAATAAAAAGAACTGCTGAGCCAGGCGCTGGGGGCTCATGCCTGTAACCTGAACTGCATCTCCAATAAACTACTCAGAAAACAAAAACCTGCAAGAGCTGGGAATGTGGCTTAGTGGACGAATGCTTGCCTGACATGCATGAACCCCCAGGGTTCGATTCCTCAGCACCACACAAACAGAAAAAGCCAGAAGTGGCACTGTGGCTCAAGTGGGAGAGTACTAGCCTTGAGCAAAAGCAGCTCAGGGACAGCGCACAGGCCCTGAATTCAAGCCCAGAACTGACAAAAAGCTTCCAGAAGTGGAGCTTTGGCTCAATTAGTAGTGTTAGCCTTGAGGAAAAGCTTAGGGGCAGCATCCAGGCCATGAGTTCAACCCCTAGGACCACCACAGAAGAAACAACCAGGTGTAGAGCTCAGTGCGGTAGTCCGAGCAACTCAGGAGGCTGAGATCACAGCTGGAGGCCAACTGTGGCAGAAAATTCACTAACATCTAGCTTGAAAATAACCACCAGGGGCTGGGAAGGCGGCTCAGTGGTAGAGCGCTTGCCTTGCATGCTTGAGTCCCTGGGTTGGATTCCTCAGCACCACATAAGCAAAAAGAAAAAAACCGGAAGTGGTGCTGTGGCTCAAGTGGTAAAGCGCTAGCCTTGAGCTGAAGAGCTGAGGGACAGCACCCAGGCCCAGAGTTCAGGCCCCACAACCAGCAAAAAAAAAAAAGAAAATAACCACCAGGAAGCTGGGCACCAGTGGCTCACACCTGTAATCCTAGTTACTCCCGAGGCTGAGATCTGAGGATTATGGTTTAAGGCCAGCCCTGGCAGGCAAGTCTGAGACTCATCTCCAATAAAGCACTAGAAAACTGGAAGTGGCGTTGTGGCTCAAGTGGTAGAGCACTCGCCTTGAGTTGAAGAGCTGAGGGATAGCGCCCAAGCCCTGAGTTCAAGCCCCAAGACTGACAAGAAAAAGAAAAACCAGCAGGGCTGAGACTGTGGCTTCGTGGTAGAGTGCTTGCCTAGTGTGCACAAAGCCCTGGGTTCCATTCCTCAGCACCACATAAACAGAAAAAGCCCTAAGTGGCACTATGGCTCAAGTAGAGCACTTGAGCAAAAAGCAGCTGAGACAGTGCCTAGGCCTTGAGTTTAAACCCAGGACTAGAAAAAGGAAAAACCAGCAAAAGGCAGGGCTAGAAGCACAGCTCAACTGTTAGAACCCCAGCCCTGGGACAGGGCATGCTTGTGAGGCTCTAGTTCAAGCCGTGGTTGGGTGTAGTGAATGTGTCTTCCCAGCAACAAAAGGAAGCACAAAGAAGAGGTTCACAGTCCAGGACAACTCAGGCATAAAGCAAATTCATCTCTAGTCACTGCCAGGTACTAGTGGCTTACTCCTGTAATCCTAGCTACTTGGGAGGTTCAGACCTGAGAATCTCAGTTCAAAGCCAGCCCAGGCAGGAAACTTCATGAGACTTATCTCCAGTTAACCACCAAAAAGCCAGAAGTCTAACTGTGGCTCAACTGGTAGAACACTAGCCTTGGGGAAAAAGCTAAGGAACTGTGCCTAGGCCCTGGCTTCAAACCCCAGCACTGCCCAAAAGGTGGGAGAAACACCACACAGCTATTTTCCAGTGGTGTAGGAGGTGACGTGCTGGGCTGCTTCGGAGCCCAGTGCTCCTGAGCAGCGCTGCTGGTGGGAGCAGCTCTGTAGAACCGGATCTTCTGCACCTTCCCAAGGCTGGTAAGGACGGCTGGGTGGCTGCTGGCTGGGGTTAATGCCCTACACTGGTGCTCTTGGTGGGCTGGGGCATTGCCTGGACCCCGGAGGGCCCTCCATACCGCTCAGGGGTCCTGGGCCGTGCCCGCCCTGCTGCCCAGCTGCCCAGCAGTGCTTCCCAGCAGCCTGGGCTCAGCAGTTGGTTTCACACCTGGCAAGAGCCAAGGCCAGCAGGGGGCAGGCTCGCGGAGTAGCCCTTTCTAAAGTGCTCTATCACTACCCCTCCCTGCCCAAAGACTGGTGGGTGTGGGTTTGAAGTGGCAGGTTGCTGTTGGGCCCTCATGCCTGGCTGTCAGTGGGGGGGCTGCTAGCGCTTAGCCTCCTCTACCCCTTCCCCCTGGAGCCCTCCACCTGCATTTACCCATATCCCTGCCCGACCTCCTGCCCAGCACGAACCCCGCTGACCAAGCTTGCTAGTGGCCATTCCTCTCACCTCTGGAGCTCCTGACCAGAGACCAGGAAGCTCCAGTCAGGTTCCGGTCCTGCAGAGGGGTGTTCACCGGGACGCGGGGGCAGTGTCCACACAGGAGGAACTTGGGGCCCATGGCTCTGGAAGCGTGCCAAGTGGAGCAGGGCCAGGACGTGACCCCTGCCCACCAGTCCCACACTCCACAGCCCAGGGGCCCGGGGAACGCCCCCCCACTTCCTTCAGGGTGCTAGAGTTCCCAGGAGGCTTTGCACTGACTTCTCACTGAGCAGGCGCAGGGAAGGAGGCTGGGTGTGGCAGCTGGGGCACCGGGCCTCCACCCCTCCCCAGTGGGGTCCCAGCTAGCTTTCCCGTGCACAAGGCAAGCAGCACAGATCCCCCAGGCTCCTTCAGGTCGTTTATTTCCCAGTCAGAAGAGAAGCAGGGACAGGTGTGTCTGCCTGTCAAGGCCTGGACCTGGCAGACACCACAAGGGGAGTGGGGAGGAAGGGGAGGCACAGGAGACGGCTCCGACTGTGTGTGCACTTGGTCCCACGTTGGCCCTGGGGGGCCAGGGAGGGCTGCTGGGCGTGGTGGCACTGGAAGCCGGGGAGAGGCAGCAGGCCCACAGCCCGGAGGACGGCACAGCAGAGGCAATAAATACTGACAGGCCAGGCACGGAGGCCCGGGCCCCGAGGCCCGGGGGAGACGGGTAAGGCTGGCCAGTCTGTCCCTCCGGAGCTCTGTGCTGCCCACGCGGGGGAGGCAGAGGCAGGACAGCCACCTCCGGACGGGGCTGGCGGCGCGAGTTTTGGCAATCTGACCTTCTCCCAGCTGCTGGGCCGCCAGCCCCGGCCACCAGAGGGGCTGTCCAGCCTCCGGGGAGCAACAGCAGCACACCCCAGGCCTCCCCGGGTCGCTGGGTCAGGGTGGCCGACAGGGAGGAAGGGAGACCACATGCTCATGCAGATGGGGGTTAAGAGTTAGCGCGGCCCCCAGGACACGTTCCACATGTTAAGGCATCATGGTTAGACGGTGACCGACAGTGACAGATGAAATGGCCAGGGCGCGGGGACCCGACAGCCTAGACTGGGCCCTGCACACGCACGTTCACCAGGGCAGAGCTGACCGGCTGGGCACCTTCTAAGAGCTGGGACCCGACCAGGCCCAGCCGGTGCCTGGAGGAGAGTGGTGGCGGGAACTGGGGACACACAGGGGAGCAGAAACCTAGGCCGGAATCCCACCCACACACAGGCAGAAGCAGCAATGTGACACGGGAGACCACGGGGCCTGCACGGGACCGTGTGGAGGAGCGGCGGGCAGAGGAGGCCTGGAGGTGACCGGTCAGGAGTGGCGGAGGGAAAGGGCCCTGTCAGCACTTTGGTTCGGGGTGGGGAAGGGCATGGGGTGGGGCATGTCGGTCCTTCTGTCTGTCCGTGCCCTGCCCACCTCCTGGCGGAGGCTCAGTCCTTCCACTCCTTTTTGATGGTCAGATTCCACTCCCAGGACAGGTGGTCGGTCTTGTCGTCGTCGGTGAAGCGGGACTTGATGTTGTAGCTGCCCCGGGCCAGCATGCCCTTGGGAGCCTCTTCCATGGGTGTCAGGAACTCGTACTCCTCGGCCCGGGGCCCGTAGCTCCCCACCATGTAGTCAGTCTTGTCAACTAGAGACAAGAAGAGCTCAGTGAACAGCACCGCCACCCTCCCCGCAGACCCCAGGCTCTCCCTTCCCCCTCCACTCACTCTTGACGCCTTTCCGGTATGTGTGCTGGATGTACTTCATGCCTGACACAATCTCTCTGTTCACCTGCCGGAAGCCACACCAGGGGTCAGCCAACTGCTCCACTCTTCCTGACCCCTGTCCCCCAAGGCCCCCTGAAGCTCCAGCCTTACCCGGAAGGAGATTTTTATCTGGTATTCCACGCCCTCTTTCAGCACGAAAGACTGCTTCTTGAAGCTCTCCAGGTCACCTGTGTTAGGCAGAGGGAAGTCGGTAGGCTGCCTGAGACTCTACTCTCCCCCCCCCCCCGTGCCCAGCCCCTCCCAAGCCCCAAGCAAGGTCTCCCCCATTGCCTGTCTGCACCCTCTGCACGCCCCACCAGAGGGCGTCAGCGCTGAAATGCTTTCAGGGCCTGGGGGCATGCCAGCTGGCTCCACCCAGGGACCCAGGTGACCCCTCACCTGTCAGGTCCAACTCCAGTGGGCCAGGGGCGGTGCTGCACACCAGAGTCAGACGGGTCACGATCACGTTGGGGACATTGGGGTCTGTGGAGGACAGCTGTCAGAACCCCACCCCTGGCTTCCCCCAGCCCCACCCCTCATGGTAGACAGAGGAGAGGACCTGGGGGGGGGGGCTGGTGCCCGGCAGGGGTCAGGGGGCTGCCGGTGCCCTGGGCGCGGCCTGCTCACCGGCGGAGACGGCCACGCGGCCCAGCAGAGCCTCCTTGTACTTGCGCAGGCTCTCGTCGTCTTTGTCCAGCTCCTGGATCTCCTGGATGCTCTTCTGAGCCGGCGGCTTGTAGTTGACGGAGTGCTCGTCCTCCTCGTTCTCGGCCGCGATCTGGGCCAGCTGCTCGGCTGTGGGCTCCTGTTCCGCCATGCTCACGTCTGGCCTGGGACACCTGTGGGCGGGGCGGGGCCGTGACAGCCGCGGGCGCCCGGGAAAGTGCGCCTGCTGGGCCGGGAGGCCGGGACGCCGGGCAGGGCGGTCGGGAGGGC